TATATATATAAAATGCAACCCCAATCAAAATAACAATAATATTATGTGTAGAACAGGATAGAGCAATCTGAAAATCTATATGGCATCAGAAAAGTCCTAGAACAGCAAAGGCAATTTTGGGCAACGAGGACAAGGAGGGTGCATCACAAACCTGTAGTTCAAATTATACTAAAATCAAAATGGATCATAGTTCAAAATAGTAAAACAGAAACAAACTGTAGAAAGACAAAAATAGACAAAACTTTTTTTATTCATTAAGTTTATTGGTACATTTTAGGTATATAGTATGATGACATTCATCATTGGGAATTTGTACCTTTACATGATATATTTTGGCTCTTATTTTTCCACTTTGATAAAACTCTTGAAGATATAGGTGTAGACAAAGATTTTTAAATAGAATACCTGTTGCACAAGAAATATCAAAAAATGACAAATGAGACCATATCAAATTAAAAACTTTGCAGAGCAAAGCAAGCGACAGAGTGAAGAGGGCACATAGAATAGGGAACATTTTTTTTTTTGGCAGCAATTCCTCAGACAGCTAATATATATATAAAATATATAAAGCACTCAAAACAGACCTCCCAAATTAAAAGACCCAATCAAAAAATGGGTAACTGAAATGATTAGACACTTCTCAGAATAAATACATGAAAATGCTCAACATTAATGGCCATTTGAGAAATGAATATCAAAACAATACTGAGATTGCATCTCAGTACAGATAGAGTGGCTATCTTCAAGAGGTCAAATGTCAGTAACAAATGTTGGTGAAGCTACAGGGAAAAAGAAACAGTTCTCCATTGGTGGGGTGTAACTAATACAACCATGGGTGTAAACTAGTACAACCATGATGGAAATCAGAATGGAGATTCCTCAAAAAATTGAAAGTAGAGATTCCATTTGACCAGCTATTCTTCTAGGTATCTTCCCAAAAGAAGTAAAGGCATTGTATTACAGTGATTCATGCATATTCATATCTATAGCAGCACAATCCACAATAGCTAAATCTTGAACCTGACCTATATCCATCAACAGATGAGTGGATAAAGATAATATTGCATTTATGCACTATGCAGTACTATTCTGTCATAAAGAAGGATAAACTTGTGTCATTTGTAGGAAAATGGATGCACCTTGAGACTATTATGCTAAGTGAAATAAATCAGACATTCAATCTTAAATATCATATAGTTTCTCTTACATGAGAAACCCAAAATATGTGTAGAGAGCAAAATAAAAGATAAACAATAGGAAACAGATAAATCTTTAGCAAATGGGAAGAGAACTAAAAGACAGATGGATAGAGGGAGGAAGGAGGGGAGACAAATGAGAAAAAAAGAGAAATTGTAATGTGTTTTGTACATGTACCAAGTTCCTATGAGAAATGTGATTATTAGGTACTATAACCACATAAAAATTATACGTCTCTAAGAACCAGAGGGAGGGGAGGGAGAGGTCAAGGGGATTAAAAATATTAAAATAAAAAATATTAAAATATGTCATGTACATGTACTAATTCCCCACTATGAATGTAATCACTACGTACTACAAATATGTACAATAAAAATAAGCAATGCAAATTTAGTGGCATTTTCAGAATCCCTCATAGAATCAAGTCACAAATCAGCACTTTGAGTCTCAAGCTTTGATAATACTATAGTAATGGGGTACAGGAAATGCTATCCCAAATATAGCACCATGGCATTCTGAGTATTTTAAACTGAAAGAACTGAGAAAACCACAGAAGCAGAAGTGTATCTTTCTCTACCCTTCTTTTGAAGACCTACAAATGACAAGTAGCCTACCCTCCACCCAGAAAGTAATAAATGTTACACAGAAAGGCCAAAGTGAATCTGAAAAACAGATATAGTTAAGTTTACATCAGCTTTCTTGCAGTAAGCTATACCTCTTTCACCCAATCACACAGAAGACTGTTCTTCGTCTAACCTAAGTATACAACTACAATTTACTTGCAGCTCTTGGCTCTTCATTTCTGAAGGCTTTGTGTCTTC